TTATTTCACAATGTGAATCTTTTTTATGTGTTAGTGAAATAAAAACATAAATCCTACAAATGTCAGTCTAACTTGGGTAAAACAAAGCAATAATACGAAGTTACAACATAAACCTTTAACTAAATTGAAAAAATAAATAGCAATTATACAAAGTTACAACATAAACCTTTAACTGTGAACGTGAACTAAATTGAAAAATAAATTGAAGGAATTAGATTTACCTGATTATAATTCTAAGATCACCGATTCCAACATTAAGGGAGTGCAAGATCAGAGCCATGAGATCTTAGGTTTGTGATAATAAAACAACTCTATAGAAACATCTTCCATGTCATAATTCATATGAAATAAAGTTTATTATTCCCTGTCTATAAATATCAAAATTTTGATGCCTAATACCCCATAGATCGTTCGAACTGTATAGGAACAATAATCAATTTTAGCTCGAATGGTTTGTAGTGGAACCCTACCCTCTCTGATTCATTCAACATGCGCAATTTCTTTTCCGTCAATACGTCCTGCAATTTGCACTTGAATTCCTTTTGTATMTGCTTGTTCAGTTAATTCTATAGCCTTTTTCATTGCTTTGCGAAAAGAAACTCTATTTTTTAATTGGCCAGCTATAAATTCTGCAAGAATATTAGGGTTTCCATAAGGCTTTTCAATTCGTGTGATAGCAATGTTAAGTTTTCTATTTACAGAATTAAATTCTTTTTGTAAATTCATCTGTAATTCTTCGACTCCTCGGGGTCGGCTTTCAATTAATATTTTTGGAAATCCCATATATGATTTGGAGCAGGTCGACTCTTTTTTTGAATCTTGTTCATGTTTTTTTGCATTTTGGTTTTTGTGACTATCTAATAGAGTCGTAATCTATATATTCATCTAAGGATATATCTTTCATTACAATAGTTATATGGAAAGTAGGTTTTGTATCGGATAACTACGCCCTCGAGCTCGAGGTTTTAATCTCTTAACAGTAGTACCCTCATTGACTTCGGCTTTATTAATGACTAAATTTGTTTCATTCGAACCCATATTTAAACTAGCATTTGTTGCCGTAGAATAAACTAATTTAAAAATGGGATAACATGCTCGATAAGGCATGAGTTCTAATATAATAAGAGTTTCTTCGTAGGAACGTCCACGAATTTGATCAATTACTCTTCGCACTTTGTGAGCAGACATAGATATATTCGGCCACGATTTCCCTTCTTTTGCAATCAGTTTCGCTACAGCACCCGCTGCTCTAGCTAATTTTCCACCCTTTCCAAGTGTGATTTCTGTGTTATATATGGTCGTGCCTAAGGTCATATCGGTTGAAGTAGATTCTTCTTTTTTATCAACCAAAATCCCTTCCCAACTCTACAAGCTTCTTCCAAAGCATACGACTTTCTGGATGTAGATGGTGATATCTATACAGATGGATCTTAGTACCACATGGGTGGATATACCACATCAATTTGTTATGTATGGATGATGACATTTCATTGATATAAAGCTAATTCCAATAGACTTATTGGAGGGTCCCATTGGCGTGCATCCAGTAGGAATTGGACCTACGAATTCGCCAATTATGAGTTAGGTGCTTTTTACCATTGCTTAGCGGGTCATAGTGAATGACCAAATTTCAATTCAAATGGAATCTTTCAATTAAAGCAATGAGATGCTTAAAGGGAATTCTTTTAGTTCTAATAAAACATGAGGAATTTAATGACAGGATATGAATTAAAGTTCTGGATTTTAGAATTGAGAGGGATCAAGAATTCTCACTATTTCTTAGATTCCTAGACCTAATTCAATTTAGAGTGATCTTTCATTCACATTTTTTCCACCAAGAATGTTTTATAAAACTTTTTGACTCCCGAATTTGGAGTATCCTACTTTCACACAATCCACAGGGTTCAAAAATTGTAAGATATTTAATGAAACCGTCGTTGGAATTGAGATATTATTCAAAGTGAAAGATCTCAAATATCCGTTGGGTCTTCCAATATCAATAGGATGATTGTTTCGCTCCTGTATCTTCCAAAAGGAAAAAAGATCTATGAGAGTTCTTTCCTGAATCTGAAAGAGGGTACTTGGGTTCTCCCAATAACTAAAAAGTGTAGCATGCCTGTATCTAAGTGGGCTTCGCGGTGGTGGAGGGACTGGATCAGAAAAAAGAGGGATTCTAGTTGTAAGATATCTAATGAAACCGTCGCTAGATTTGTTATCTCATGTCAGTTTTTCGTGAAAAAAAAATACCAATTGAAGTGGAGGGTTTTTTCAAACAACAGTGGGCTATTTCTTTGCAAAATTGTGCTCGATTTCATATGTCGCAATTCCGCCAAGATCTCTTCGTTAATTGGGTTGAAACAACCCTAACCTAATTCCGACCCAAATAAATACGATTTGGTATAATCTTGAATCAACTATGTGTCGTATTACCTCGGGTTTATTTTTTTTTTAGTTTTTTCCATCCATAAATCGATTTGATTCCCTAGAAAAATGGGTTTAGACAATCATACTTGAAAAATTGGACGGAGGATCGGGCTGGACCGCTAAAGATAATAGGCGGGCTTGGGCAATGAGAAAAAGAGTTCGAACAAGCTCGTCCGACCCGTTATATTATTATAGTTGATTAAAAATTTACTGCTTTTTATTAAAAAGATTTAGAAGTGGCTTTGAGTTGGATTCCCTTTACTGAGTACTTAACCTCACCCAAATATATATACTATATGATATGTTATATTGTACGTCTTGAATCTCGATCTTGAAATATTTGGTGGATAAATATTTTGCTATTTTTATTCATACAGTATGTACATTATTATATTTTACGTCCTATTTTATGCTCAAAAGTACTTATGTAATTTAAATGATTTCACATAACTTATGATTATATATAAATTTTATTTTTTTTAAATGTAAAAAGAAGCCCGTTAACCCGTGGATAAGTCCAGTCTGTTTATATGAAGGGTACGGGCAAGTCCATAAGCCCACATATGATCAAGTTTCTATCTAACTCCAATAGATCCAATCCAACATGATCCATAAAAGATTTTGGTGATGATGATCCATATGTTTGATTAATTATACATAAGATGGTCATCCACAAGCAAAATGATACTCATGTTCATGTTACAAACTAATCGTTACAACAAGCTGTGATTTCTTTTTATTTTGGATCATTGCATCGATCTATTCAAACACGCACAAGTTCGATTTTATGAACCGTTGGGACATCGGTTTTGAATGACATAGCAACAACATTATCATCGATACCAGCTATGAAAACAGACTTTGGCACCAAAAGCAGGCAGCATTCGCACTTCCAAAAGTGGAAATCGCGATTGCCGATTCTTTATGGTTCCTGTTGTACTAAAAATGAACAAATCCTTTCATGATAGTAGATGAACTTCATGATAGTAAAAGAATAGGACTAGTAGGTGATTTCATGATAGTAATCTTTAAAATTGATAATCTAACTGTTTATATGAACTGTTTTAGGGTTCCTGTTTGAGTATTATATATATATATATATATATATATATATATATATAGGTTGTAGATGACTACAATTGTTGTTATTGATGCTTTAAGTTCTTAGTTCTTATATCATGACCTCCCAAGAGAACAAGAAAATGGATATACGAATTGTTATTCACAACATTCTCAAGTGTATTCTAGATATCATACCAAAGAATGTATAGATGTTTGAGTTTTCGATAATATATCACATATGCAGGTGCAATCGAGCTTCTAAATGGCATGAGGTGTGGCGTGACATCAATATCAATCCACAAGTCTTACGAGTTACGGCAAGGCCATGGTGTTTTCCAAAGAGTAGCTTAAGGCGACATATCTATATATGTGTGTGTGTGTTTATGTTAGTGTCTTGAACAATAATGATTAAGTTATTAACAATTTAAAAATTCATATAAAACGATAAACAAAAGAAGAACAATGAATTGATAATTTGATATCAAATATACAGAGTTTACAAAAATTATATCAAATGCATAAAGTAAGTCATTGTTTATAATCCATGTTTGGTGATTAAACAACAAAATCAAAGTAATGAAATCAAAGAACAACAAATGAAAGTAATCGAACAATATTTTCCGTATGTTGAGAAGTAATTTACGGATTTTTTTTATCTTTTTACCCATTTTATTGATAAGTATTTGACCCGTATAAACTATAAAGTTATATTTATATTTACTCCCATTCAAGTTTTAAAAATTGCAAATTTCCTCTCACGCCTTATAACATCATAACGTGCCATGACGGAGCTCCATGTCTTATATCCACGCCAAGGGGTTAACATGGCGACAAAGTTGCGCCATGACGGCTCCAATTCGTGTATTTTAGAACATTAATTGGGTGTAATTAAAGAAGGAAATGACATATAAACAACCACAAATATGAAAATATATCGAAGAAGCTCATCTTGTTTGGCTGTCCAACATTGTTTTGATCAACAAGAAAGAGACAAATCCAAGGCTTCTTGTTTTTTATTTCTTTGTCTAAACCTAAAAGCATGGATCAAAATTTAAATTACCAAAAATTCAAAGTTCAAACCATCATTTTTGTTTAACCGATAAACTACAACAAAATCGGATTAAAATGTTCAAATATTGTGATAACCGGGTTTTGAGGTTATGCACTTGAGGTAATCCTTATATGATTATTATTTGATTATATGAATATATGCATATTTATGTATGAGAAAATATGTATGCATGAGATTGATAATATGCATACGTGTATGCATGACTTATATCGTTAGCATGCATAAAGTTTTGAAATATGCATGTATGTGTGCATAAATTATAATTAGGGAGGTGTGTGTACGTATGTGCAAGATATTTGTGGAAGAAGAGTTTAATATTTATATTTCTTCAACACCGCCTCTTTTAGATAAGATAAGAAGAAGTAAATATTTTATCATTCTTTTCTCCCAAACCGCCTCTGCTGAATATAAAAAGAAAGTTCTCTTTTTGAGGGTTATCTTCAAGAAAAAAAGAAAACAGTGAGAGAAAAAGGTGTGCATTTTTCTTCTAAAAATTCAGAAATTGGAAATTGGGGTTTGAAGTTGAAACAGTTTCTCTTGTTGTTTCTTTTGTGTATAAGGTGAGTTTTTGTTTTAAATATCCAGCCTTTAAACTTGTTGAGGTTTCTGATTTTTATGTGGAACTGTTGATATTATTGTGCAGTTGGTGTTTATTTATTTTATAAAGATTTTAAGATTTGGAAGAACCTGAAATTGAACAGTGTTGTCCGATAAGAATATGTTGTTTGATCAAAGTTTTATCCACTAAAAAGTGGTTTCCGGACGGTATTGTCCGATGAGAATATGTTTAAACCATTTGGGATTAAAAAAGTATTTTTGTATCTTTCAAATGAGGTTATAAATCTGGAAAAGATACTGTTTGGGTTTTCTTTCAAGAACGGTTGTGACTTCAGTCTGTTTTGATTTGAAACAAATGTTTCTACGGGACGGTTGTGACTTTGGTCTGTTCGGTACGAAACTATTTTGAGAATGTTTCTACAGGACGGTTGTAACTTCGGTTTGTTCCGCTATGAAACTAAATGAGTTTTCAATGTTTCTACGGGACGGCTGTGACTTCAGTCTGTTCCGGTATGAAACCATATTAGGCCATTATTGGCTAAAACTACAAATGATGTTATTCAGGACAGTTGTGACTTCGGTGTGTTCTGATTTGAAATTCTGTTTTCACGGGACGGTTGTGACTTTGGTTTATTCCAATACAAAACTCTTCATCTATAGATTTGAGTAGAAAATAAGGGTGACATATTAAGGAGAGATGTACCATGGGATAAGGGTGGCATTTGGATAACTCTGGTTGCTATATCAACAAGAGATAATAGCTTTGGGTTAACATTTCTTTGTGACTTGGGAACTTAGAGATATTGCTTTTATTGAAATAATGACATAGATGTTATTGAGAAGGGTAAAATCGACTCATAGCCAGAGGCATTATTTGCCTATGATTTCAAATGATTTTAATGAAATTAGAGTATTCAGTTTTATATTTGATCGAGAAAAACAAGTATTTGATTGGAACCAGAAGAGCTCTGGTTGGTCAGTAGCATAAACAAGAGAGCTTCTGGTTGCATGAGAAATCTTTTCAAGTATGTTCTCGGAACCAAAGGGGCTCTAGTAGGTCTTTAGAACAGACCAGAGGGTCTTTGGATATACAGGAAATTTCTTAAGTGTTTTCGGGAATATTGTAATCCAGGGGCTCTGTATGTGCTATACGGAGGCTCTGTATCGAGGAGTTGGTCATGCAACTAGTTTTAAGTGTTTTCGAGAATTTTGTGATTCAAAGGCTCTGTATGTGCTATACAGAGGTTATGTTTCATAAGTTGGTTACGCGTTTAGTCTTTCAAGTGTTTTCAAAATTTACATGACCCAGATGCTCTGTGTGTACTATACAGAGGCTTTGTATCATGAAACTTGTATTTTTAAGTGTTGTGACCGATTTCTGTTTCCATGAGTGCAGTCTTAACTCTGTATTTGAATATGGTGTCCGAGCTCTGCGTCTGAGCTCTGTCTTTTGAAACTTAACTTATTATATTTTCTTTCAAACATTTTAAATATCTTTTTATAAAATAAAACAGAGAACCAGAGGAGCTCTAGTTATGTTTTAGTAATCCTTTTCTTAAAACTTCTATTCTGGTCTATTTGGACCAGAGACCCTCTGGATACCAGAGACTCTGATTATCCAGAGGGTCTTTGTCAAGAAAGAAGCCTTAGTCATTTTTAGAGTATGAATCTAGAAGCTCTGGTTGGTAGGACCAGAGGCTCTGGCTAATTGGAGGAGATGGTTTATAAAAGTACTCAGTCCTTTAGAGACAGAGGAGCTCTAGACTTTAGTAACAAGAGGGGCGCTGGTCCTTAAGAGCCGGGGGAGCTCTGACCAGTTGAGCCAGAGGAGTTTTTCATCTCTGTATTTTGTAATTAATGTAGATTTCGAGGAGTGTATATATCTGTATATGTGAGAAGATGATTTTAAAGCTTTGGTGATCTTCACCCTATAATTGCAAAGAAAGGGTTATCTCACTAGACCTTTCGGTCTAATCTCGTTTTGTGTTTTAAATATGCATTGCAGAACCAACAGAGTCTCGGGATGTTAAGGGGAAGGAAAAAATATGATTATTTTTCTTATGTGCTTATCGGCTATGTTTTGAAGATACCTGTAGACATACATGTGATAGTACAGGGTTTTCTTTTGGAATAATTTTCAGTTGTAGATTCTATAAATATAGAAACCTTGTACAAGTGGGACCAATGTGGTGTAATATGTATTTCATTGATATGAAATATATACTATATGCAATTATGGAGTATGAGGTATCTAACAAATATTATAACAAATTATGTTTTAGAACATAAACTTATGTGAATAAACAATTGTACGTCTTATATTAAAAGTATTACAATGGAAAATTATGACGTATTTATATATGTTAACAAGTTTTTTATATTTTTTTTAAATAAAGCATTAAATTATTTTATAAATATTTTTTCAAATAAAATCATATAAGTAGATTAATCGAACATTTATTCCAAAATTGTACTAAGACACCCAAAAACGTTCCGTCAACAAAAACAACTTTTTATTTACCATAAAATGCACAATTGATTCGTGTTATAAGTTATAAACTAAAACATTAGAAAATTGTATACTACAATATTGAGAGATATATATATATATATATATATATATATATAGGGTGGTTCAAATACTAACCCAATATTTTGTGCAAACTTTGCTAACCCACATCAACCAATAATGTTGCATCTTTGGGTTTGGTTAAAATGTAACTTATATATTAATGATAAGGGTATTTAGGTCAT